TAGCATCCTGTGTAGTATAAAATCTGTCGTACTTCTCTCTAAAAATACAGGACTCCGTCCCCCCCCTCGAGTTCAGAGCTCATAAGTCGAGTTCGCCCTGCGTCTACGTCCTCAACTGCGTCACTTCGTTCCTCACTGCGTAACCTCGAAACCTCGTCCACTGCGTTCACTCGTCGATACCGTCTCGACAAACCCTTCGACTTCGACTATTGTCGAAGAAACTGCGAACCGCACCCTAGCTAAGTACACCCTATCGAATCGTGTCCCTTCTCTCTACGATACATCGAAGAGCTCTGCCGAGCTTCAATCGTCGCTAACTTTCCACAGCTTCCGAGTAGCTTCGACGACGTGTCGAAGCCACCTCGTACCTACCCGTTTGTTCATAACCTTTCCCAAGGGCGTTTCTCGTGTTCACTCGAACCGCGGGACACCTTGCTGCTAACTCCCCTCTCATTAGACTATAAGCCGTCTCTCTAGTCCCTTTAGGTCGCACCCAGGTTAGGGGTTAGGGTTTCGTTGGTCGTATCACCGCTCTGACTCACCGGCCCCCGGGGCCGTGTCAGCATGCTGTGCACGGACCAGCTGCGCACGGACCAGTGCGCACAGCCTGCCCTTATCCTCCCCTGTATATAAGCCGGCCTCTGCTGCCCTAGGGACCTCAGTTTCGACCTCTTGTCCCTAGGTCAGTAAGCCCATCATGTATTCTCTTCCTTACTTAACTAACTAATACATTTCTTGTCCCTAGCCTTAGGTTCGAGCCCAGCTCACCATCGCTTCGGTAAGAACTCAGTCGAACGCCCCCAGCGCCTGGTTTGGTTTTCCTCTGTCGCTTGACCCTAAGTCGCGACAGCGCTGGAGGAAGCCCGGAGGCGGGGTCACGTACATCAGGGATTGCTGACGCGGGGGCGAGCGCTGTCGGCGAGGCGGGCCAAGCAGAATCCACGGACTCGGACTCCGAGACTCCTTCTTCACTCGCACTCTCCTCAGGCTCAGGCTCTGGCACAGGGTCTGGAGGGAGATCTCCTCGCGTTTGACTTGGACCGGTGACAGTTTGGGGAAGGCAGGAGCTAGGGGAGACAGGGCGAGAGTGCCGCGAGGCAGATTGAGATGCGAGGGTACTGCGGGGGACGAGCGGATGTTGGGCCCTTCTGATCGCTTTGTACCATGGGTAATCCTGCTCGATCGATCGGGGTGTCTGATTGGGGCACGGCTGCTGCTTGCAGGTGAGGATGATAGTCTCAGGGCCGTCTGGGATGTAGACATCGACGAGGTCCTGAGAGTCGAAGGCGTGAACTTGGCCTTGACAGGCAGCCACGATGGAGGGGAGGAGGACGGGGAGGTGCGCGTACTAAAAATGGCCGTACTAAACTAGCTTACGCTATGGCGCGCGAGAAGACCCTGAGGTTCACAGTTCACGTGGGGCCCAGTACTGCTTTTGGCTAGTATGCAGCAGGAACCTAGACCACACATCCGTGAGAACAAGCACCGCCCACTGAAGTGCAGGTGCTGAAGAGTTCGTTCCTCTAGGGGTGGCGATGTATGGTAGGGCTATCTACGTATCGTATGTACCATAGGGTATCGTAGGGGTGCGCACCACCCGACCTGTGGGAAAGGAAAGTGAGTGTGGGGAGTCCCGAGAGGACGCCGGCAGCTTGGGGAGTTTCAACCTAATGTCGCGACTTGGGGTCAAGCGACTGGGGGGAAAACCTAAACTGTGGGTGTCCGACTATTTCTCACCGAAGCGATGGTGAGCGAAGCTCGAACCTAAGGCTAGGGACAAGATAATGTATTAGTTAGTAAGGTAAGAAGGAAATACAAATGAGGGCTTACTGACCTAGGGACAAGAGGTCAAAACTGAGGTCCCTAGGGCAGCAGAGGCCGGCTTATATACATAGGGAGATAAGGGCAGGCTGTGCGCACTGGTCTGTGCGCAGCTGGTCCGTGCACAGCATGCTGACACGGCCCCGGGGGCCGGTGAGTCAGAGTGGCTGTGTCAGCGGAGCCCGAGCTGTGCCGCGCACTGCCGCCCATCTAATCTAATTGTACAGTAGATAACGATGTGTCCATATCAGGCATGTGGTACAGAGGTCGCGGGTTTGAGCCCGCGCAAAGGAAAAATTAAAAAACGGCTAGACGCTGTACCAAGTTGTGACACCTTGTGTGACGCAAACAGGAACATCTCTGAAGATACATGGAAAAAGCGGATTTTGTTCTCCTCGTTCCACTGCATGGGATGTCACGACTTGGTACGGCGTCTAGCCGTTTTTTAATTTTTTCCTTTTCGCGGGCTCAAACCCGCGACCTCTGTACCACATGCCTGATACGGACACATCATATCTACTGTACGATTAGATTAGATGGGCGGCAGTGCACGGCACAGCTCGGGCTCCGCTGACACAGCCACTCTGACTCACCGGCCCCCGGGGCCGCATCAGCATGCTGTGCACGGACCAGCTGCGCACGGACCAGTGCGCACAGCCTGCCCTTATCCTCCCCTGTATATAAGCCGGCCTCTGCTGCCCTAGGGACCTCAGTTTCGACCTCTTGTCCCTAGGTCAGTAAGCCCCTGTACATACATACTTTCCTATGCTAACTTACTTCTCCCTAGCCTTAGGTTTGAGCATCGCTCACCATCGCTTCGGTGAGAACCAGTCGAACGCCCCCAGCTCTCCGACTCTCCCCTGTCGCTTGACCCCAAGTCGCGACATTAGGTCGGAACTCCACAAGCTGCCGGCGTTCCTCGGAACTCCCATACTCACATACACTTCCTACAGGTCGGGTGGTGCGCACCCTTACTATACTTACATAGCCTACGATACATCGCCACCACTTAGGGAACGAACCTTTCAGCACCTGCACTTCAGTGGGCGGTGCTTGTCCTTACGGATGCATGGACTAGGTTCCTGCTGCATACTAGCCAAAAGCAGTACTGGGCCCCACGTGAATCGCAAACCCTAGTGTTACTTCGGGCGCCGTAGTTGTAAGCTAGTATAACACGGCCTTTGTAGTACGTGCACCTCCCCGTCCTTCCCCATCACCGTGGCTGACGAATTCTTCGACTGTTCCCGACTCGAGCACGCCTTCGACACCCAGGAGCAAGTCGACGTCTTCCGCAACGACCCGGAAAGCAACGGGAATCGAGCTCCCTTCTTCATCTGTGATCGACAACCGTGCCCTAATCGCACTCCGCGATCCATCACTACCAACGAAGGGCGCTACGTGCCAATCCGACGAGTCCAGCACCCCCGCGGCCCGGCACTTCGATACGCTGGCACCTCGAGATCCACATCTTGCCACGTCACTCCCGTCCCTTTCCGACCCGCCTCCCCAGGCACCCGCATTCCCCAACCTGTCGCCAGTACAGGTCAAGCACGAGGAGATCCCAATCTCCCTCGAGGAATTGAGGCAGTTGCACAGCCTACAGCGACCTCTCAAGCGATCCCCTAGCCCTCCTTGGGGCCGCGGTTGGAAAGGAACCCGAAGCCTAAGCCCAGCAACAGTCCAGCGGTTACTTGGGCCAGCTCATCATCAGCAATCTCGTCCTCAACTCCAGTCCCTGTCGTACGTCACCCTGCCACCAGACTTCCTCCATCGCCTCCACCGCCATCGCCGCCGCGAGGCCGCTCGAGCACTCGCTCCTCCCGAAGTTCACCCGGCGGACAATCACAACAGCCGTCTTCGCCCGCGGGCAGTCCTCCGTCCCCCTCGTTGCCGGTAATGTCCTCACCAGCATCCCCCCCTGATAAGGACACCCTGAAACTCCTCCTCCCACTCCGCTACGATGGCAAGACTGTCATCGAATGCGCCAGGTTCCTGTTGCAACTCCGCATCTATTGGTTGGTCAACACGTTGTTAACCACCATCGAACTCAAGGTGCAGGTTGCGCTGAGCCTGCTCGACGGTGACGCCCGCACCTGGGCCACCCCATACTTTGCCCAGCTCGCATCCATGCATATCGGTGTTCAGGGAGTAACGACCCCCTTCGCAAATGAGGCGGTGATACGACCTACGAAACCCTAACCCCTAACCTGGGTGCGACCTAAAGGGACTAGAGAGACGGCTTATAGTCTAATGAGAGGGGAGTTAGCAGCAAGGTGTCCCGCGGTTCGAGTGAACACGAGAAACGCCCTTGGGAAAGGTTATGAACAAACGGGTAGGTACGAGGTGGCTTCGACACGTCGTCGAAGCTACTCGGAAGCTGTGGAAAGTTAGCGACGATTGAAGCTCGGCAGAGCTCTTCGATGTATCGTAGAGAGAAGGGACACGATTCGATAGGGTGTACTTAGCTAGGGTGCGGTTCGCAGTTTCTTCGACAATAGTCGAAGTCGAAGGGTTTGTCGAGACGGTATCGACGAGTGAACGCAGTGGACGAGGTTTCGAGGTTACGCAGTGAGGAACGAAGTGACGCAGTTGAGGACGTAGACGCAGGGCGAACTCGACTTATGAGCTCTGAACTCGAGGGGGGGGACGGATCCTGTATTTTTAGAGAGAAGTACGACAGATTTTATACTACACAGGATGCTACAACTATTCGAGAGTGGCATACGGGTACAAGGGGCTTT